CCACGTGAGATCGTGGGTTTGGGACATAATGTGTTTGTTTTTCTTATGACATACAACATATACGGTTTGCATAAGTCATGTATTTTGGGGCTTTAATCTTCAAGTGTGATAAACAAGTCATTGCTCTCTAGTTGTTACAACTGCTATATACTCTATTGGTAGCAAAAATCAGCATACCCTCTGGTCCAAAGAATTGTGCATCAACAGGAATTTCTAAAGTAAATATCATATATATTATAAATGGTATTATTTTTGCAATTGCAATTGAAGATTTTATTATGAATTGAAGAGACAATTGTAAATCCTTGCTGCTTAGTCTATTAAAATTAATATAAAAATCATTTTTAAAAGTTGTAAATAGTAGATGATGATGCACATATTTTTTTGACCAGAGGGTATATGTGATATCTGTTCATATACCAATGTCAAGGAGAAGTGAATCAAAAAAATAATGTGTTGAACTTGTGAGTTATATGTTAAGAATTACAGTGATATACAATATTAAAAGATGGATTTCACAGGACTTTTGTTATCAGTCATTTTGTGTTCATCTCTTTGTGAATGTGGAAATATTCTCGTTGTACCAGTGGATTTTGGCTATAACAGCAGAATGAGAAATGTGATAAAAATTGGAAGAATTATGTTGAATGCAGGGCACCAAGTAACCTTCTTGCTTTCTGACCAGATTGAACACGATGCTTTGTATAAAATAGGCGAGACAAGTTATATGAACAAAACATTCAATGTTATACATTTCAAGAAGCCACAGGCCTGTCAACTGTCCCGCAATTTGCGTATTTGTCACGCATTTGCTGAAGAATTTGAAGTCACGCCAGTTTTTTTTGCGTGACAGAAAATGTCACGCAAAATACGCATTTTACCTGGTAATTGTCAAGCAAAAATATTTCTGTAGAAATTTGTTCGAAATATGTTTACGATACGGTAAAAATACGAACGCCGGAAAAAACCGAACGCAATTTGTTCGGATTTGTCACGCGAATCCTGTATGTGTCACGCATGTTCATTGGAAATTTTTCTCATTGGAAATTTTTCGTACCTACCCCATAACATTTTTTGGCAAACAAAAGTTTGGCAAAGGTGCTCAAACTTTGGCCAAAGGTGTTTAAAAGTTGGCCAAAGGTGTTCAAAATTTGGACAAAAGTGTTCAGATTTGGACTTAGGTGTCCAACATTTTGAAGTCACTCATATTAGGTGGTCCCAAGTTGACAGCCCTGAAGCCACCTGTAGATGTATCCAAAGACATGAATTCTTTGAATCAGGATTTTATAAACAGTTTGATGGGGAATGCTGTGAATGCATTTGACAATGTACTACCAATATATTCGGATTTTATTTCCTTACCTCTGGAGGACAGAAGTATTTGGAAAAAGTTTGCCAGGTCAAAGTTCGACTTGATAATAAGCGATGGGCGTATGTTCGTTTCAAGTGTTAAGTGCAAGTTTCAATATTCCATTGATTCTTTATGAAAACTGGGGACCAATGAGTTTTGATGCAAATCTTATACAAAGATTCAATCTTGCATATGTTCCTGCTTTCCTTCACCCATGCTCTGACATTATGTCTTTCTCAGAAAGAGTTTACAATGTTTGGGAGTACTATAAACTAAAAGAAGTGAATAGGAAAGTTTACAGTATATCTGTTGCAATATGTAAAGAATTGAGTTATGGAGATGCCTGTGATAACATAAACAATGCTGAAAAACTGTCTCTCTGGTCTTTATGAACAGAAATGATGCACTTCATTACCCACTTCCCTTAATGCCACATGTTATATCTGTAGAAGGATTTTTCCTCGAAAACCCAAAGCCTTTAGATCGACACTATGCCAACATTATTGAGAAAGCTGGAAAACATGGGATAATTGTTGTGAGCTTTGGGTCATTGTTCCGTAGACTCTGGCCAGAACTTCGAACCACATTTGCCAAAGCATTTGCTGCAATGCCACAAACTGTGATTTGGAGTTACGAAGGCCCTACACCAGAAGGTCTTAGAAATAATACGATATTGAGTAAATGGATACCTCAAGAAAGCCTATTGAATCACCCTGCTACTAAACTATTTGTGACACAGTGTGGAGCTTCATCCAGCTTTCAAGCTTTGCATTACGCCCTCCCTGTGATTGGAGTACCATCCTTTTGGGATCAGCTTTTCTATTGCCAGAAACTTTCCCATAGAGTAAAATCTGGTCAAACTGTTTCTTTGGAAGGAATCACCAGCGAGAAACTTCAACGAGCCATGAAGGAGGTTATAGAGAATAAAACATACAAGGTGAATGCTGACAGAGCTGCTGCTATATACCATGATCAACCCATACCACCAAAGGACAAACTTGTCTACTGGGCTGAATATGTAATACGCCACAAGGGTGCACCCCATTTACGATCCCAAGCTGCTAATGAACTGAATTTCTTCCAATACTATTTGCTCGACATCATAGCACTGGTGTGTTGTGTTTGCATTATCATTGGAACAGTTCTGGTAATTATAACCAAGAAAGTCATTCTTTTCATAGTCTCTTACCAGAAGGACAAATATGATTAATAAAGTAATATTTACTAGACATTAAAATTGATGGTTTTGAGGCACAAATCTCCTTTTGCAGGATAGACTGAACCATGAGTAATGACTTTTATATGCCAATTAGCTTTTGAAGTTTCAGGTTTTATCACTTGAGATGTTGAATGATGTTGGAATTGTTTAAGAAATTGGCACTTAACTCATATTTTTTCACTACACACCTTTTGAGGTTCCAGCTACAGTATTGATTGTTGAGAAATATATATTGAAACCACCCATAGTTTCTTGATGACCATTGTGAATTATTGTGTTTTATGGATTATGGCCACGGCTTGGGGAATGGTTGTTGGCCCTTTGAAATTCCCATGAACTCCGTGGCTGGATTTTGTCTTTCCCACGTCATTTGAGAGTGATTATGCTCTGTTTGTATGAATACTTGTATCTACAGTTCTATTTTTGATGTTACACACTTAAATGTAACTTCATTCAGTGGTGGAGGGTGGCCCTCAGGGAGGTACATGGGCCCCCAGGGGACTATCCTATATTACTGAAATTATGATTAATATCTTTCTATTCTGGATGTACAGTACCAACTTTGGGGAAGGTTCAGAGTTTAATGTGTAATGTGTAACCATTTTTTCCACTTCTAACCGAACCAACCTTGGGGAAGGTACCCTTTATAAAGCTGATTTAATTCTCTGGTTTCTAAAGTATTTCTCTGTATATACCAAGCTCAGGGGTTTCATATTTCTACGATATTATACAACTACATCAAATTTGAGTATCCTTAAAGCGGCATTAAAAAACGCTGTACCTGTATATTATTTCTTAGGTACAACGTTTTTTAATGCGGACTTTAAGGATACTCAAATTTGATGTAGTTGTATAATATTGTAGAAATATGAAACCCTGATGGTGGTTCAACTACAGATTCAGAAATGCAGGATATAGAAATACCCCAACCCTACACCCTAAATCAATGACATTATGATATATTATTGTCATTTGATGGTACTTTTTATTGACTTATGCTCATACTTTATATGTGTATGTTATACGTAAATGATCACAAATGGATGTACCAGCCTTGGGGAAGGTACCCTCTATAACGTTTGAAACTCACTGGACTTTTTAAGTATTTATTCTGAATATACCAACCTTGGGGAAGGTGTATTCTTCATATTCATACACAACTGTTTAATCTGATATATTTTGTCCAAACGGCAACGCAGTGGCTTGAAGTCTGCAATTTATATGGATTAGAATTTGTTTGGTGCTTGTTTGTTAGATTGTTTGTACATATTAATCTTTTTATAATTGCATGAATAAATCACCTTTTTTGTAAAGGACAATAAATATATACATACATACATGAGTATTGGCTATCAATTTCTAATTTTTCTTCAACATGTATTGTAATGACTTCAGTATGATTGAAATTTCCCTTTTTTATACCTATACGTTGGTGTTCTGGTCTTGGATTGTGATATTGGTTCTTGAATGATGGAGGAAAGGGTATTTGGACCTTGTTTCTTTTCACGTGAGATCGTGGGTTTGGAACATATAGTGTTTGTTTTTCTTATGACATACAACATATATGGTTTACAATTAGCGTTTGCCATTCATCGTATCTAAAAAAGGTAAGTTTTTAAAGGTTTTTTGTTTTTTATAGAAATCAAAAATTAATTTTAAAAAAATCGTAACCATCGGATATCACTTTTGACACCCTTATATCACCTTTTAAAAGGTTTGAATGGTTTCAAAGTGATATTTGATGGTTTCAAAAGTGATATTCAATGGTTTGGGGATTTTTTGCTGAAATATGATATCCTGATCCATATATCAAATTTATCTTCACGTGATATTCGATCTATATCCTTCTAACCATGGGATAATATGCAATATTAGGCAAGCTGGTAATGATATGAATAAAACAGGTCTTGGCAAATAACAGATGCCCTGACTTGGATACCCTGTATTTAGTCTTTAGTATACACTTTATTTGTGAGTTCTGTATGAGATACATATGTTATGTCAATGTGACCTAACACCTCATAAATAATGTATTTTGGGGCTTTATTCTTCAAGTGTGATAAACAAGTCATTGCTCTCTAGTTGTTACAACTGCTATATACTCTATTGGTAGCAAAAATCAGCATACCCTCTGGTCCAAAAAATTGTGCATCAACAGGAATGTCTAAAGTAAATATTATATATATTATAAATGGTATTATTTTTGCAATTGCAATTGAAGATTTTATTATGAATTGAAGAGACAATTGTAAATCCTTGCTGCTTAGTCTATTAAAATTAATATAAAAATCATTTTTTAAAGTTGTAAATAGTAGATGATGATGCACATATTTTTTTGACCAGAGGGTATATGTGATATTTGTTCATATACCAATGTCACGCAGAAGTGAATTAAAAAAATAATGTGTTGAACTTGTGAGTTATATGTTAAGAATTACAGTGATATACAATATTAAAAGATGGATTTCACAGGACTTTTGTTATCAGTCATTTTGTGTTCATCTCTTTGTGAATGTGGAAATATTCTCGTTGTACCAGTGGATTTCGGCTATAATAGCAGAATGAGGAATACAATAAATATTGGACGAATTATGATGAATGCTGGTCATGAAGTAACCCTCTTGCTCTCTGATCAGATTGAACATGATGCTTTGTTTAAATTAGGTGAGACAAATAATATGAACAAAACATTTAATGTCTTACATTTCAAGAAGCCACCTGTTGATCCATCCAAGGACATAAATACTTTGAATCAGGATCATGTTGTCAGCTTAATAGGGGATGCTGTGGATGCCTTTGACACTGTACTACCTATATATTTTGATTTAATTTCCCATCCTCTGAAAGACAAAACTGTTTGGAAAAAGATTGCGAGTGCAAAGTTTGACTTGATAATAAGCGATGAGCTTATGATGGTGTCAAGGATTATAGCTGCAACTTTCAATATTCCATTGATTCTTTATGAAAACTGGGGACCAATGAGTTTTGATGCAAATCTTGTACAAAGATTTAATCTTGCATATGTTTCTGCTTATGTTGAACCATACTCGGACATTTTGTCTTTCTCAGAAAGAGTCTTCAATGTTTGGGACTATTTTAAACTTCAAAATGTGAACAGGAAATTGTTCAGTAAATCTTTTGAGATATGTAAAGAACTGGATTATGGAGATGCCTGTGATTACATAGAGAATGCTGACAAAATTGCCTCTCTGGTCTTTATGAACAGAAATGATGCACTTCATTACCCACTTCCCTTAATGCCACATGTTATATCTGTAGAAGGATTTTTCCTCGAAAACCCAAAGCCTTTAGATCGACACTATGCCAACATTATTGAGAAAGCTGGAAAACATGGGATAATTGTTGTGAGCTTTGGCTCAATGTTCCGTAGACTCTGGCCAGAACTTCGAACCACATTTGCCAAAGCATTTGCTGCAATGCCACAAACTGTGATTTGGAGTTACGAAGGCCCCACACCAGAAGGTCTTGGAAATAATACGATATTGAGTAAATGGATACCTCAAGAAAGCCTGTTGAATCAACCTGCTACTAAACTATTTGTGACACACTGTGGAGCTTCATCCAGCTTTCAAGCTTTGCATTATGCCCTCCCTGTGATTGGAGTACCATTCTTTTGGGATCAGCCTTTCTATTGCCAGAAACTCTCCCATAGAGTAAAATCTGGTCAAACTGTTTCTTTGGAAGGAATCACCAGCAAGAAGTTTCAACGAGCCATGAAGGAGGTTATAGAGAATAAAACATACAAGGCGAATGCTGAAAGAGCTGCTGCTATATACCATGATCAACCCATACCACCAAAGGACAAACTTGTCTACTGGGCTGAATATGTAATACGCCACAAGGGTGCACCCCATTTACGATCCCAAGCTGCTAATGAACTGAATTTCTTCCAATACTATTTGCTCGACATCATAGCACTAGTGTGTTGTGTTTGCATTATAATTGGAACTGTTCTGGTTATTATAGTCAAGAAAGTCATTTGCTTCATATTCTCTAATCAGAAGGTCAAATATGATTAAAAAAGTATTCACACATAGCTAGGCAAGGTGTGTCAACTTCTATCAATCAGAGGATAGTATTTCATATGACTGCATTGTATTATATAACCAGCAACTCACACAAGGGGTCATTTTTAGATCCAAGTGAAACTAATGAAACCAATAAGCTTATTTTCTTTGTTTAGTAAACATTTGTAACTAGTATCATGCTTTAAGTGCTATTATGCAGGTCAAATGGTAGTTGCAATGAATGGTTGTTAAATTCCAGTGAATGGATTTAGTATGGACTAATGCTGTAAGGCCATAGGACCTTTGCTCAGGAAAGAAGTTCCAATATAGCCACTCAATATAAAATGGCCACCATTTTATTTAGAAAATATATGTAATTTCTATGATTCAAATACCATTTAAGGTGCTATGGAAGTTAACAGGAAATGACAAAGCAGGAAGTGACAAAAAAATTTGCATTTTAAGACATTTTTTGAACCAAGATAACAGAGTTCTGTTTTGCCCTTCAGTCAATTCAACTAGTCCCAAATACCATTTACAGGTCCAGGATCACAATGTTCATGGTCAGAATGACCCTAAACATGATGAAATAACCTTTTCAGCCCTCTGAAAACGAGACTGAAAAATAGCTAAAAGAAGGAAGTAGGAAAGGTCACTGAGCAGAATGTTTCGAATTTTTCAGAAAATGTGCCTAATATATTGCTCTAAATGATACAATCTTTGAAAATTTGATAGCATTCATAGAAAAAGAAAAATTATGAAAAAACTGATTTGAAAAGCGATCTATTTTCCTTTTTATGACCGCCATTTTTTAAAGACAATTTTCTAAAATTTCAAAGATTGTATCAGTTAGAGCATTATATTGGGCACATTTTCTGAAAAATTCAAAATATTCTGTTCAGTGACCTTCCCTAGCTCCTACTTTTAGCTTTTTTTCAGGCACACTTTCAAAGGGCTAAAAAGGTTATTTCATCATGTTTGAGGTCATTCTGACCATGCACATTGTGATCCTGGTCATGTAAATGATATGTGGAAATAGTTAAATTGACTGGAGGTCAAACCAGAACTCTGTTATCTTTGTTCAAAAATGTCTAGAAATGCAAAATTTTTGTCACTTCCTGTTTCGTCATTTCCTGTTAACTTCCATAGTACCTTAACAGGTTTGGTTCAAATTTTATATGCTGATGACTTAGTGGTGAGGGACATTTACTGGAATTGTTAAGACTTTGTCTGCATTTTAAATAGTGTAAAAAAGTATAATTACTGCACTTGGTGATTCATCTCGTATATGTATATGGATTCAAGTTAAGGTCACTTAATATTCTGCCTTATTATCAAACTGAACAAACATTGAATATAACATGTGATTTGTTGCATTAAATGCTTTGATAGCCTAGAAATGAATGAAACTAACAAAATATGACTAGTCAAATTTAAAATGACATGTGACAATTTTATATCAAAAAGTGACTGAAAGCGACCTCCCTAGCCACTGTTGGGAGTCCTAATATGTACACGTAGTGTATTTGAAGGCTTGTTGTTTGTAATAACATTGTACGTGAATACACATATCATAATGCTGCATCAAAAAATAAATGATTGAATTGTGCCATATTTACTGGCAAAATTTAAAAATAAAAAATTAACATTGAAAATATCCAGCAACACATCTCTTTCTTTTCACCAATTACTCTGTTGTGTGTGCAATCAATGATGAATGTCAAGTAGATACACCAATTTATCGTATGATCTGTAAAGTGAAGCCCTCTGATTGGTCAGTTCCTGTGCTGTACCAACATGTATTACTACTGAGATTGTCCCGATTGATCATCTCCCTAGCAATACAAAAAATATTGGTACGGAGGGGACAATCTCAGTAGCGGTACAGAGAATACAGAATAATTCTCAGGGATTATCTCCTGAGTAAAATGTATTGGCTTAAGATCACACGATAAAAATGTTATTGAATGATTTGAAGTGCAATACAGGATATATTCTGTCTCGATATTCTGTATTGGCACTCGACTTTGTCTCATTCCAAAACGGAATTTCTCAAGCAGAATATATCCTGTAGTGCACTTCAAATCATTCAATAACTTATAGTACCATTGTTTTACCCCATTAATATTACCTTGGTAATTGTTACAAAACAGAAAAACATGAATATTGAGTTTTCATCCCCATATGAAAATAAAAAATGAACTTCTCTAATGTACAAGAGTGAACTCTGTGCTATTCTTTAAGCGACACTTTAAACGGCTGCCTTATTTAAAAAAATATTATTTTTGTTTGAGTTCTATGGTTTTTCTTGTAACATCAAAATTGAATATGAATAGTAAAAAATAAATAATTTTAGTAATTACCTATAGGATATGAAATCCTGAAGTGAAGTACAGGGTGAACAAAAAAATTAACCTGAACAAATAGTTCAGTTTGACTTTACAATAAATCCATGCTAAATGCTTGAGTTAATTATTAACAATTTACTGTGCTACCTTATTTGGCTCACTCCGTGTTTAAGCTATTAAGCATGAATATGTCATTTGTTTCAAATTTTGTTCTAGATATAGCATGGCCAGAAGATGATGAAGCTGTTTATCCTCCTGCACAACAAGTTATAGAACAACTTCTCATGTTTCACCCCAATCTCAGACCTAAAGCTAAAGGTAAGTAAGATGATGAAGCTCTTTATCCTCCTGCACAACAAGTTATAGAACAACTCCTCATGTTTGACCCTAAACTCAGATCTAAAGCTAAAGGTAAGTAAGATGATGAAGCTCTTTATCCTCCTGCACAACAAGTTATAGAACAACTTCTCATGTTTGACCCCAATCTCAGACCTAAAGCTAAAGGTAAGTAAGATGGTGAAGCTATTTATCCTCCTGCACAACAAGTTATTGAACAACTCCTCATGTTTGACCCCAATCTCAGACCTAAAGCTAAAGGTAAGAAAGATTTTGATGCTTTTTATCCTCCTGCACAACAAGTTATAGAACAACTCCTCATGTTTGACCCTAATCTCAGACCTAAAGCTAAAGGTAACTAAGATGATGAAGCTCTTTATCCTCCTGCACAACAAGTTATAGAACAACTCCTCATGTTTGACCCCAATCTCAGACCTAAAGCTAAAGGTAAGTAAGATGATGAAGTTCTTTATCCTCTTGCACAAAAAGTAATCGAACAACTCCTCATGTTTCACCCCAATCTCAGACCTAAAGCTAAAGGTAAGTAAGATGATGAAGCTCTTTATCCTCTTGCACAACAAGTTATAGAACAACTCCTCGTGTTTGACCCCAATCTCAGACCTAAAGCTAAAGGTAAGTAAGATGATGAAGCTCTTTATCCTCTTGCACAACAAGTTATAGAACAACTCCTCATGTTTCACCCCAATCTCAGACCTAAAGCTAAAGGTAAGTAAGATGATGAAGCTGTTTATCCTCCTGCACAACAAGTTATAGAACAACTCCTCATGTTTCACCCCAATCTCAGACCTAAAGCTAAAGGTAAGTAAGATGATGAAGCTCTTTATCCTCTTGCACAACAAGTTATAGAACAACTCCTCATGTTTCACCCCAATCTCAGACCTAAAGCTAAAGGTAAGTAAGATGATGAAGCTGTTTATCCTCCTGCACAAGTTATAGAACAACTCCTTATGTTTGACCCTAATCTCAGACTCGAAGCTAAGTTGTTGTTTTAGTGTTGTTAAGAAATGGTGATTTATTTGTGATAAGAAATTGATGTACAGAGTGGTCCAAAAAATGGGACACTCATATTTCGAAAATAGATATTGATTTTCTTGATGAAAACATGTCATATTATATACCAGTGAATAGGGAATTTACTCATCTTTAATTTGGTATATCATAAGTTCAAATTCATGATAATTTCTGTCAACCAGCGCCCATAATATAAATTACGTCATTTTCGTTTCAAAACTTACATAAAGAGATGTTCAATATGTCCGCCATTTTTATGTCCCCACCACATAGTGTGGGGCCATATTGTTGTCCTAGGCGCATCCGTCTGTCTGTCTGTCCGTACGTCCGGCAGTTTTTTCCAAAACCGCTACAGATATCACCTTCAAATTTTCAGGATAACTAATGAGTGCATACAGATGTGGACGAGAAATTCTTAGCTCGATACCTACTTCCTGTCGGCCATTTTGAAGTCAAATGCTAAAATCCTTGTCTGCAAACTTTAAGAAAAACGGCTTCACGGTTGCTTTTAAAACTTTAACATCTTGTTCAGCTTGCTTCATTCTACATCTGATTAGGTTTTGGACCTGTTAGCCCAGTCATGTCAGCCATTTTGAATGTCTTAAGAAAAGTAAGCGCGCAATAATACTTTGTATCATATTGAACGGTGTTTTTGAGTTTTCATACTTTAACTATTTAGAAGCTTTATAAATAATTTTAGGTGTACTTTGCCATAAAAGCCTATGTTATTGTTAACAGTAGTTATATGTGATAATTTTGTAAAAAGTAATCAGCGAAAACTTATAATCACTTTTTTATTGTCGGCCATTTTGGATTTTTCCATCCTAAAATCTTGTCTGTAAAGTCTTGTCCACGCGTTTTCAGGTGAACCATTTGGTAGATCAATTTTAAATTTTCAGGGATGATTCTTAGTATGAAAATCTAGATCTGATTAGTTTTTTGGCATTCTGGGTAAATGTCAAGGCAGCCATTTTGGATTTTCCGTCCTAAAATCTTGTCTGTAAAGTCTTGTCTACGTGTTTTCAGGTGAACTGTTTGGTAGATCAATTTCAAATTTTTAGGGATGATACTTAGTATGAAAATCTAGATCTGATTAGTTTTTTGGCATTCTGGGTAAATGTCAAGGCAGCCATTTTGGATTTTACGTCCTAAAATCTTGCCTGTAAAGTCTTGTCTATGTGTTTTCAGGTGAACCGTTTGGTAGATCAATTTCAAATTTTCAGGGATGATTCTTAGTATGAATATCTAGAACTGATTAGTTTTTAGGCATTCTGGGCAAATGTCAAGGTAGCCATTTTGGATTTTTCCATCCTAAAATCTTGTCTGTAAAGTCTTGTTTACATGTTTTCTGGTTTACTGTTTGACGGATCAATTTCAAATTTTCAGGGATGGTTCTTAGTATGAAAATCTACAGCTGACATTCTGGGTAAATTTTAAAGTGGCCATTTTGCATTTTCCGTCCCAAAATTGTAACAGTAAAGTCTTGTCTACTCATTTTCAGGATTACCATTTGATGGGATCACCCATGGGTGGGGACATATTGTACACATTTGTGTTCTTGTGATCAATTGGTGCCCTCAATTTTGGCCTAAATTGGTCAATAGCATGATTGATATGCTGTTGAGACAATAAATTTCACTTCTCAATAATCCTGTCCTTAAGGGACTGAATAGATCTTAAGGATTTATGGTATACCAATTCTTTCAGTCCTCCCCATACGTGGTAGTCGCAGACATTGGGTAATCGGGTGATCTGGGCGAGGCAGCGATTAAGGTGGATGAATCTAGGCATATTTTCCTTAAAACATTTGACACTCTTGTGAGATCCATTGCTTGGAACCCCATCTTGTTGGAAAATGTAATGATTCGAAAATAGCTCATATCAGGATGGTC